TTCCGCTCCAGCTCCTGGCTACCGCTGGACCTCAACCACCAATAATGACTTGCCTCCATCGTATGAATCGGTTGTTGCTGGATCACATCCACGAGTAAAACCAGACGGAACAGAGACAGAGGATACAGGGGGGAGGGGGGGGGGGTAACTGAAGTACCACTTGCGACGGAACTCCAGATATGAGTATGCCTGATGAAGAAACCCAATGACATTAAACTGATAGAAATTACACGGCCATCGCCCTTCTGCTGGGAACATGGGCGTCTCAGTTGAGTTAACTTTACATTTGCTTTGTTAATGATTATCATTTTTAATATCAACCAATAAGATTATTACTATTAACAACGGTATCGGGAGAATGATGAATTCTTTTTATAGCCTTGTATAGGGATGTAGTTGATTTTAGGGGGTGTTAATGTGACACCTCATGTTGTCCATAAAATGGTAAACCTTTAGGATCATGGTAAATACCCGATACCATGAAATGATATCGGCTGATGCATGGTTATTGTACAAAAACTTCATAAAATTTAATGTGCATTAATATTGATTGAGTCATCATTATATTATATAGGTCTACTAATTCTTTGCCGTTGGTTAGTCTAGATTCCATCAAATCTGTAGTACATTGTCTATTATTCTCAGTTTTTCTGTCTATAGAAACAGAGTAAGGTAAGTACAGTGTTTAGCCATCTCGGTTACAATGGATGGCATTATGGCAGGTGTTTTTTTTAAACTATTCATGTGCTTGCCTGACAAAGCAACACGCGCAATATACCCACTGAAATGGAATTGGCCCGACTCTTTATTTGCCCCCATTATAAATGTATACATTTAAACACTAAAATTATTCCTACCCTTACCAAACTGTGTAATTTGTTAGAGTGTGTGAACAAATAATTTGTCACGAGTTATGTTTTTGATAAGGTGACATGTAAAGGAATTCAACCAGTTCACCTTTCATTCTTGAATTATGAAAAAACACAAACAAACTAAAAAAAATCCAATACTAAATCAGAGTATATATATTATATGCATATTTATACGGTTTAAAGATTATTACTAAGTTGTGGATTAACAAGATTTGGTAGGTATTCAGGTTGTAGTTAAAATTCTACCGGTAACAATACCCTAAGCTGTCTATCCCTCTCCCCCCTCCCCCTCCCCCCTCCCCCCTCCCCCCCTCTCTCTCTCTCTCTCTCTCTCTAAGAGAGTGGACACCTACATACATTAACCCGTTCAATGTCACAGACGTGAATGCCATGAACAGAGACAAGCTTATTAGTACATAAGCGAAACGAAACGATTAAACGAAACGATTATCTATTGCATTCCATGTACTTATTTGTGTACCTATTTTGTATATCATGAGTTATATTCTATTTCAAAAATTGCTATATTAGGTTTCTCTGCTGTAAATAATTTTCCTTTTGTTTTGCTACGCTGCATTGTAAATTAATTTATCTGATATATATGCTTACAAACAGAATATTGATTTGTTACATTGCACTGTAAATTGATTTATACGATTTACATGTTTATAAACAGTTTATTGATGTACATCAATAAATTATAATAAATTGCAATCTTCTTTGTTTTCTTATCATGGAAGTACCAAAATGCCATCAGAATTATATTGATTCTTGTTGATTCCTAAAAGGGGCGTTTAGGCAAATTGGGAAAGATTACAAAATCGGCACTTTTAGGCAAAAACTGGCAACTGGTTAGTTCATCATTTTTGCCTAAAAATGATTTTTTTTTGTTTTTTGTTTTTTTGTTTTTTTGTTTTGTTTGTTTGTTGTTGTTGTTATCTTCTTTGTTTTCTTATCATAGAAGTCCCAATACGCCCTTGGAATTAATTTGATCCCCGTTTGTTCCCAAAAGTGGCGTCAAAGCATATTTGGGAAAAATTCTGAAATCGCAACTTTTTCGCAAATATTGCTTTGGGTTAGTTTATCATTTTCGCCAGAAAAAGAAACTTCTCAATTTTCTTTGTATTATTATCATGAGAGTCCTTATATGCCCGCAGAAATATATTGATCCCAAAAGGAATCCCCACGAGCCCTTTGAATTATAGTGACTCCCGTTTGTGTTCATAAGGGGCGTTTAGGCAAAATTCGAAATTCACCACTTTTTGGCAAAATATCAAAGGGTTAGTTCAACATTTTTATTAAAAATGAAACTTTTTAAACTTATTTTTTTCCTTATCATGGAAGTACCAAATTTCCATCAGAATCATATTGATCCCTGTTGGTTCCTAAAAGGGGCTGTGGGGCACATTCTCGAAAAATTCAAAAATCGCCACTTTTTGGCAAAATTGGCAAGGGGTTCATCATTTTTGCCAAAAAATGAATCATTTTGATTTTCTTTGTTTTCTTATCATGGAAGTCCCAAATTGCCCTCAGAAATAATATTGATCCCTGTTTGTTCCTTATAGGGGCGTTTTGGCAAATATGGGAAAGATTCATACAAATTGCCCCTTTTTGCCAAAAATAGCAAGGGGTTAGTTCATAATGTTTGCCCCAAAATTAAATATTTTAATATTCTCTGTTTTCTCATTATGAAAGTCCTAAATTACCCCCAGAATTATATTGATCCGGCGTGTATGTTTCTTAAAGGGGCGTTTAGGCAAATTCGGGGAAGATTCGAAAATCGCCACTTCTTTTTTTTGCCAAAAAATAAAAACTTTTTAATCTTCTTTGTTTTCTTATCATGGAAGTACCAACTTGCCATCATAATTATATTGATCCCTGTTGGTTCCTAAAAGGGGCTTTGGGGCACATTCGGGAAAAATTCAAAAAAATTGCCACTCTTTGGCAAATATAGCAAGTGGTTAGTTCATCATTTTTGCTAAAAATATGAAACATTTTAATCTTCTTGGTTTTCTCATCAGGGGTTAGTTCATCTTTTTTTGCCAAAAAATGATATATTTTAATTTTCTTTGTTTTCTCATTATTGAAATCTCAACATGCTCTCAGAATAACATTGATACCCGTTTGGTCCCAAAAGGGGCTTTAAGGCACATTTGGGTAAAATTCTTTATGGCCGCTTTTTCGCAAAAATGGCAAGGAGTTCAATCTAAGATAATTCCAAAATTTGGAAGCCCCAAACAGTCTAAATCTGGTAGTTTTCCAGTGTTATTTAAACCTTTTGTCAGATCTTGAGTTTGTGATTTCAATTCTTTTAATCGTGGTTTTCATGGTGCCTTGGGGTGTTTTATAAAGCTGTGCGTAAAGTTACGCATGACTTAAATATGAAGAGCTTAATGGGATTCTCAAATCCTTTTAATTGCATAAACTAAATTTGAAATATGCAGATGTAAATTAACCTCATCATTTCAACATTTTAATGCAAAGTGTACATTTGTCTACAAATTAATTGAGATTATGGGAAATACGGTCACACTTTTTAAAGTGTCAGGAAAAACTTTGGGCATCCTATTTGGCTCTTCATATTAAAACAAAAATTGTGAAGTCATTCGTAACTTTACGCGCGGCTTTATAAAACACCCCACCCCCCCCCCCCCATACATGTATGATTGATACATTATTAAGGTAAAGGAACTACATTATAGCATTGATGTTAATCAATCATAAAGAATGATTGTCACATAAGTTTGATGGCAAGGCAATATTTTGTGATATACATGTACAGGCATATTCCATAACAACAGAGAAATCTTCTATTGAAAAACATGTTCCGTTACGGCATGCAGCAATTTTATTCCTGAGCTTTAAAAAAAACTGTATTCCTTAACAACATGCATGTGGTGAAGACAAGTGTTCTATGAACTTTATTGAAATGGGATTTACCTGTACGTTTTCAAGATGCTTTTGCCTTGCCATCTTAAATTGACAATGGTCTGTTTAAAACATCCTTATATATGAAAAGAATAATAGTTACAATGACTAAATTTTGATATATTTACATCAGGGACTCCTCGAATCCTTGCTTTTAATAACATTACAAAAATTGAACAGTAGAAATTGACCAGGAGTCACATAATTAACTCAAAATTGATTCAGTGTAATTGAAATTTTGTAATATTGTAAACATGATATCACATTCACATGCTAAATTTTTACCACAAAATATAAATATATGGATAACAATTTATAAATCTTCAATCAAATCAATATCAAATTGAATAACGTTGAGCAAAGTGAAAGTCTCACTTTGTCACGAATTATTAAAGCATAGGTACATGTAAATAAATACAGAAAATGATGCCAAGTCTGCAAGATGGGATTAACCTATAATGTATTTTTTGCAATTACCTAAAAAGAACTTTAAATGAGTTTTACAATTGAAACAAGGTGCATTGAAATTATGCTATTTAGTTTCCTGCTATTTAATGCAATTGAAATATAATAGAAAACAAGGTCTACAAAAGAACATAAGAAACCTTAAAATATTGCATCACATATATTGGTAAACCTAACTTAGAGCATTGGGCTTAGGACACACAAAGAGACTGCATAAAACGTCCAGTATGGCCTAAATATCATCACTGATTATCAATTCAAACAATAGATGTTACACTTCTTGCTGCTATTATAAAATAATTGTTGAAATAGTACACTATGAATTACATGATGATAATACAGGTACATGTCCATCTATCTATACACAGTGAGTGGAGTGATTACCACAATCGGAGAGGCAGACACATATCAGGCTTGGTACTAAACTACTGCAAGTTCAATAATTTATCATAGCCTACAATAATGGGCCAGCTTGGTCATGTAACACAAAGTTAGCAGCTGATTGCTGTGTACAATCAACTAATCGATCAATCGTATTGTCAATTGCTATGCTTTGTGAAGCCTCCAATAGCTACAATGATATTCCACATGTCACATAGAAACACATGTAAATGAGCATATTTTGAATGTTGCTTTAGTTTTTTTTTTTAATAAAGGCTACTCTGCAAAAGGATACCTTAAATAACCATTTAGCTTGAATTCCAGGCGACTTAGGATATTGCAAACATTCTGAAGGAATCATAACTTTTTTGGGGAGGCCTTAAGGCAGTCAAAATATGTGAATCAATGGTGCAATCTTTCAGAGCAATGTTAAGTATGTTCTCTAACGAAGATCACTGAATTGTCCTAAAAGAATACATGCCACATTGTCCTGTAATGGGTAATGATGTATCCTGTGTTCAGATACCATGATGTCTTAAGTTCCAATGCTCCTAGTCAAGTTTACCAGCTCATTGTCATTCAACTTCTGCAGGTCTGACAGGGTTCTTCAAAGGAATCACAGACTTCTTATCCTTGTCTTTACTCAGAGCCTTCCGCATATCTTTCATGAAAAGAAAACACAAATGAGATCATTAGCTAAATTACCCCCAAACTCTCTATCTAAATCGCCAATGCAACAATTGATGGGCCACTACAAAGGAAAAAATAACAAAGACTGTATCAAATTTGACTAAAAATCAAGGTTTGTATATATTTTTAGTTCTTGGTACATTTTAACTCTTATGAGAAAGTGCTTTTATGAACAAAACCAAAACTAAATTACACATTTCTATCATGATAAATGACCTGCTTTGTACACATTTTATTGACTTGCTATGTAAGAAAGGGATAGCAGGCATTTGTATATAAATCAACGCTAACATCTCATCACCATAAAAAGGACTTATTGTTCAAATTATAAACTTGAATTAAAAAAATTTAAAAAAATGCAACTGCCTTGTGATAGAAAAATAAAGGTTGATTATTTGATCGGATAAATGGAAACAAAGTTGCTTAACAACTATCACTTTCAGATATTCCAACATGCATTTGTGCATCATTCTCCCTCACCTTTATGCCTACTAAATCTACTAATAAAAACCCTGCTGTATCCTCTGATACCACTGCAACCAACCATACTTACCATAAGCATCTTCGTCAGGATCGCCTGAGTAGTATTCCAATACCTTCCTGTATACGGTGTAACCTAGACGGGTGTACATGCTGGTTGCAATCTCGTTTGACACACGGACAAACAGGTCAACAAAGTAACAGTCTTTTCTGTTAAAACAACAAGAAAGCATTGATCAATATATATCTTCCTCTTTTCTATTATAATTAATTTGCTGATAGAATTGTTCCTTACTTTTACAAAAGTGCTTCCAAAATATCAAATGTGTATCCATCTATACCTACAGATGCTATTCACTTGGGGATGACAACTTGAATTGGTTATCAATGTTACAATAACAAATGAATTAAATAGTAAGTCATCAATAATCATGTTCTCTTTTTAAATAAGTCCAATATCTGATACTTCTATAATGTTTGAAATCAAGGAAGATAATCCTATTTTCTTCTTCTTCTGCTTCTTCTTAATTCAAAGGACCATGCAGCCTTTAATGAAAATGAACTAAATTGTAAGTGGTGTGAGGGAGATAGTATTTCCCTGGGTAGGATTTAAATTCAAAGAAAGTTATTTGTATCCCATGTAATGATCGCATGAAAACTAACCTCTCCGATATCTCCTCCAGAATATTCATCATGATCGCAGCCAATCCCAGTCTACGATACTCTGGAGCAACAGACAATGCAGTCACATGACCATGCCATGTCTCCTGGGCAGCAGATCCTTCAGCTTTACCCATGACTACACAATGAAGAGGATATGAAAGAGAAATCATTTAATTCAAACAAAGTGTTTAAAAAACACATTTTCCAAAACCTATCCCACAGAATAAGTGCAGGTTTGCTGAAAGATGAGGGATTCCCTCATTGAAGATAGTTTTGAAGACATCTTTTGTTGTATTTGTGTGCAATGTTCATAACATTCCAAGTCCATGACACAAGCATGGATTGTATTACCTTTTATGTATATTATGAAAATATGTTTGTTGACGAAATTGTGGTTAATGAATTACAAAATTGACTGTGAGATAATGAATTAAAAACCAATGATGGTTTTGCTCGGGTGGATTTCCATCTTCAAGTACTACATATATATTTTTCAAATTGAAATACTATTCAATATTTTAACATGGTTGTGAATGTAGGATTACTTATCAATGGTAACTTGTTCTAAACACCTCTCATATAACGGGATACTCCATATAACCAAGTCATTTTTGGACAAGCTCTTTATGTATATATTTTTTGTCTTACCTGGTATTCATTAATACACTGTATCATACATATACCTTGTATGACAAGATAATTTTCTATGTCCTTGTTATAATGAGTTTGCACAGTATAAGACACAAAATCCCTTAAAGATAAGAGAAAATGATATGTATTAAAGATCAATCATGTTACGTTTCAATACAAATAACCCTAAAATCATTGATTAATGATCACAAATATTTATGCCATCCCTTTATAATCTTGATTCTTTTTTAAATGATCTTTGCAGTCAATTATTTTCCGAAGTGAAATTGTAACTTTAATTGATTTACTGCATGATGCTAAGTATTTTTATCTTTTCTTCAACTATCCAAGAAAGAGAATTTTAGATTTATTTTGTTTTCTTCCATCATGAACAGTGATTTTTCACAAGCAATAAACGTAACACTTCTGTTGACAAATCATTGTTGTCGAGTTATATTATTAACAGAGAATTCTATGCTCTACAATCTATATTTTTATTGTAAATGATTTTTAAATTTCTTTCTATAGCAGTTAGGACTCATCCAGACATGTACTTAATTGGGTATTATGTAAAATAACTTTTCATGTCGCTTATGACATTAGAACGTAATAGCATTGAATGTTGTTTTTTACTGATTGGAGTTGTATAATGCCTATAGTGCAAATACACTAAACATATTTTAATTTTCAAGATCTGTTGAAATCATGAAAACTAAAATTCGACATAAAAATGATAATTTATCTTTAATTCTATAGGGATATCATCGTTACATTCATGAGATAATATACTTGGAAACTAGTTGAATTGAGTACCTGTACACTGATACTGCTCGTTGTGACAAAATCATTTCCATTTTCAATATATGTAATGACAATAACACCATATACATTGTATAACAAAGCATTATTGCCCGGTCATGAGGAGAGTGAGGCGATTACACAATCAGGAATGGAATCACATGAACTTTGGCTGGATAGTGATTCTTGACCATTTTGATATATTTGGATGCACCTTATAAGCACTAGAAAAGTGCTTATGGGTCTTTGCAGTTGGGTGTGATGGTCTGAAAATTTAGTTGCGAGTGAGCAAAGCGAGCGAGGACATTTTTTAAAGATTTGTGAGGTCGAAGTGCGAAAAATTACATCTTATAAAGAGGAAAAACCCAATCCTGATGGGGTTATAAGCACATTCTCATAACGTAAGACTGAAAAGATCTTTGGTACTTAATACTTTACTTAATTATAACATCTATAACTACGAGCGAGCGTAGGGAGCGAGCTCTGGGGGAAATTGCTCCTAGTCGCTTGAAATTAGGGGCACGTTTAATGATGAGAGGAAAAGGAGACACTTATGCAAAGGGTTCAAACACTTATTAGGGAAAAAAGAGCACGTGTCATAGTACAAACGCTAATAAAAGAGGCATGAACCAGGGATGAAAAGGAAATGGGCATTTGTCGATGGAAAAAAGGCACCCATCAGATTTTGATAGGGGCATTTATGAAAAAGGGATAGGTTCCTTATTAGTCGACGAAAAAGGGGCACATATCATTGTTAAAAGTAATTATCAGAGGTGAAAAGGGGCACTGGCCATACATGAAAAGATGCACGCGTGAGAATGAAAAGGGGTACTAATGATAAAGGGAAATCTGCATTTGTTGAAAGAAAAGAGGCACATGTTTAAATAAACGGGACACTTATCAAAGATGAAAATGGGTAATTATGAGAAGGGGAAGGGGCACTTAAAAAAAGTAAAAAGAGCATTTATTAGGAAGGAAAAGGAGGACGTGTCAAAATAAAAGGGGCATTTATAAAGAGATGGAAAGAGCACTTATCAGGAGGACAGGGGCACTTGTCAAAGTAAAACTCTCAGAATTGAATAGGGTCATTTACAAGAGATAAAAAGGGGTACTTATGAGAATGAAAAGGAACTATTAAAAGGGAAAGTGGCACATTTTACAAAGGAAAAGGGGAACTTGTCAAAGCAAAATGGGAACCTCTCAGATTTGAATAGGGCAATCATCAGAGGTGAAAGGGGCGCTTATCAAAAGTGAAAAGGGGCGCTTCTCGTACCTGAAAAGAGGAACTAACTAGAGATTAAAAAAGGCACTTATGAGAATGGAAAATGGACACTTATTGCAAAGGAAAATGGGAACTTGTCAAAGGAAAAGGGGTACGTCTCAAAATAAAAGGGGCACTTATCAGAGGTGCAAAGGGGAGGATGCACTTTTAAAAATTAAAAGGGGGACTTGTCAAAGTAAAAGGGGCACTTTTCCTACATCAAAAGGGGCACTTCTTACATAGTTAAAGGGGCATATTTCTTGTACTTGGAAAAGTGGGAGGGCACTGTGCCCCCCCCCCCTGCACCCCTCCCCCCGGGAGCGCCACCTCTGGGTGCATGATGTTACTGGAAATATAAAGACTCTCCTTGAGAATTTCTTGTATTGTAGGAACAGTGGTCATGCAAAAAGTAGGCTACTCAGTTACATTGTTCAAGCGTCAGGAAGTGCTTAAAAAACGCTCCCCAGGCAATACACTTTGGGCAGTCTTTTCTCCCTGTTGATGAGACTTTACTCGAAAATGTTTGCTTGATAGCTTCGACAACAAAATTGTTTTCAAATATAACTCGTTTTATGAAAAAGAAAGAACAATCTGTTGTGACTATCTTTTCCATGTGAAATTGGACACATGCTAACGATGACAAATGAAACACACAAAAATAGACAGTTGGTGTAAACACTTTCAATGACATTTATACCGGAAGAGAAATGAGATTTTTCTTTCATAATGTGTAAACCTATTGAGTAATCTTTATTGATTATTCACTGAAATAATAGCACAATCATTTTACGAAAGATATGTGGAATTTCACGAGGATTTTGCCTATTAATTATATTATTGTAATGCATATTCTCTGTAACTTCATATATCCCTATTATTTGTTTCATTCATAACAATCTTGTTATTAGTTTCATCTCGTCTTCATTATCATATTCAATATGTAATGACCTTTTAAAGGGTTTTTGCTGATTGATTTCTCAATGACAAACCTACACTACTTATGTTGGAACACAGATCATGATATTTATTATTTTATTAAGTAAACTTTCGTTTTCATACCTGACAGACAGATCTGTAAACATTTAAAACATGTTCTGACAGATATAGAGAATCTTCATTTCTATTGTAAAAGATTATATTTATTACTATGTGCTCTTTCGTACAGGTTCATTTGGAGGAACACGGATCTCGCACACTGGAGGACATCACGGATCATCATCGTCGTCATCATCATCGTCCTCGCACAGTACCACTTTGCTCGTTTTCTTAATCCCACCATTGTGCATAATTGTACTGATAGCTGTAGTATTTTGCTGTTGCAAATCGGGGGACAATCCAAAGGAGAAGCTGGCTCTAGCGATTGAGAAAAAGGAACAAGAGAAGTCTGGTATACTGACGGGCTGTAATGCTCAGGGAAAGAGTGCTCCAGTCAAAAAGGATTCTGCGGTACAGACCGAATCCGATCGAGGACCTACACAAGTGACGACTCAATCAGCTTCTACTGAATCACTACCACCATCTTACGAGACGGTCACGGGCACCGTGGATGGTCAAAAGACGGAGGAGAAGTAATCAAAGACCGACAGGCTTGTGTCCACAACTGATGAGAGAATGTATCTGGAAAATGTGGAATTTGTGTTGAGAAAGAAAAAAAATATTTCAGACAAAATTAACGCGGCGGTCTCTCATTTAGACGCACTACAAGTCTGACTTTGCTTTTACATGAACAGTCGTTTTCTATTATTTGCAAACTCTTCAATAACGTATGACTGGAGTTATAGTCTATAGAGGGATTAAATGGACGACACCATAAAGACGGCACCTGTTTTAGCTCGGGTAACCTTTAAAGATATCTACACAATTATCGAGTGTTTAAATATTATTTACCGTTTTTTTTCTCTTCTAAATTGACAAAATTGTACCGATGGAAAGCATTTTCTATAACAAGCAACTAGTGAATTGTTTGGACATACTTCTTTCTAAATCTGCTTTTATTTACCTATGTATATTTGCCTATATTGTCTCTTGAGTCGATCATTTATGTATCTATAAACTATTGGTTTCAAGCGTTTTCTATTCCTTGTCAAATAACATGGAATGTTTGGTAAATCGAATTTGGTGTTCCCAATTTTGTGCATCCCACATCTCTCTCTTCTTTCGTCTTCTCTCACACTTTTCAATTTCAATTTAATATTATTCTCTTCCTATTTCCTTTTCCTCTTCTTTTCTTCTCTTTCCCTATTTCGTCATCTTCTCGTTTGGCCTTTTTCTAAAATCCTGTTTTCTCTCTCTAAATTCTACCTCGCTTTAAAGTAAACTAGGCTGGTCAAATGACATGTATCTCGTCAACAAAATGGTAATGAAAGCATAAGCTTGCCTGACTCCTTCTTACTCTTTCATCTGTTGACAATGGTTACAACCCCTGGGATAATTATGTTAGGTGATGTACCGCATTATGTACAAAATCTTGGCTTTAACTTATAAATGTTTTCATGAATAGGCACCAATTTATCTGCAAGAACTAATCGAGGAATACAAATGCTCACGCAATCTATATATACGGTCATCTTCACAATTTAACCTCGTGTCTATACTTCGGTGTCAACTCTTTCTTGTGGTCATCGCTCTTTTTGCAAAGATTCTGCTGAACTTTGGAACAAACTACCTTTACATGGCAAAAATTGTCAGACTGTCCACCAATACAATTCAAAAATTGTCTTAAGACACATTTATTCAAAATAGCTTTTGAAGATTAACTGATTAAATATTCACATTGATGTATTTTTCATATGTCTTGTAATTTTTAGGTTTATTTGTAATTTCTTTTTTTTAAATATGTAATTATTATTGTTTGTCATTGTATTTTGTTTGTTATAGCGCTTAGAGACTTCGGTGGAAAGCGCTTTATAAGCACCATTATTATTATTATTATTTTTATTATTTTTATTATTGTTATCCTGCAAACATTTTTCTTTTGTTTTGTTTTTATTTCTAAATATTTTTTCCCTGAAAAATAAAGCTATTCATATCCATTTCTTCGCATCCTTTTTCTATGTATTTATATAATACTGGTTATGTGCGTTAAGGTGGGAGAGCGGGTGTGAAAGGTAAAGAAACAGGTGAAAGACAGAGACTTGAAGAAAGAAGGAGAAGAAATAAGAGATAGAGAGGGGTCGAAGTATAGAGAAAGGGGAATGGTTGTCCATAGTCTGAGAATAGGGACTTTTAGATTTGCGTGGACTGATACGTGGTACTTCCATTCACGGCAGTGCTTTAAAAGGACGTCGATCGTAGCATAGACCTATTATCTTCGTGCGAATCTAAAAGTCCCTAATAGCGTTGAAAGAACCATAAATAAAGCTTCTCGACTTGCACTCATCAGAGTAAAAACGCAAGAATGAAACAGAAAGCCGAAATCGATCAATATAAACGGAAAGTAAAAGAAACAAGGCGCGAATATAACGAGCGCTGATTGGCTGTTTAAAGTCCATAGTCTGTAAGACAATATTATTAATTGATCTAAATTGTATAGGTTACAACGTTTTGGAGATTCGAAGAGAAGGGTGGGTATGTAGCAGCTGCAATCATTCAAACACAAATCCGTATGTTATCAATAATAGTCCAAAGGAACTACATTCTTTGATAAGCTGTTGTCCATTAAGTTGGAATAATTTTTCTTTGCCTTATTTCATAAACTGATTGTGACAATATGATTTATAGATGGAGTTTGTATCTTCTCAGAGCTTCATTAATCAATCCCTGTGACTCTTCAAATTATGTTTTTTCTATCAAGAATAAATCAGATTGTCACAATCATTTAATGGAAAGTGGTTAAGAAAATTCATTCCAACCTTAGGGCTTTACCTATAGTGTGTATAATGAATTCACAATTTTCACTTAAAGTAGACACACGAAGAATCAAAAGTGTTTTGAATTGATGCAAAACTCATATCATTGCGGAGGGGAAGCCTTACTGATCAAATACAACAACTCTCCTCTTCAAAATATGTTTGGGGCCCGCAGTAATCAACTCTTAAAAATGTTAGTTTCGAGATCCAGATTTTCTGCCTTCAGCGGTCCTTTGTAGAGCGTCAATATTTGTGACGTCACACACGGGACACGGCTGGCTAGCTGCAGACACGCGACTCCGGTAGGCGGCCGTCACTGAGCTGTTTGTCCAGTGTGTGACGTCACTACTCAGAGCTCGTTACGCTCGTGTGTTTGGCTTACGTTCAGGGGCGTTCGGGGGTCTAAGAAGGGTCTTGAAAAATTGCATTTTACGCCTTTCCATGATATCTTTATGATTACCCTCTCTCTTTTGCTCAAATAAGCAGTATACTAATTCGCAAGACACGCTCCCTTAGGGCCTTTCATCGTGAACCAAGAGAGCCACTCTGTCTTATCTCTTTTTATCTCTCTCACTCTCTCTCTTTCTCTCTGTTTTTTCTGTCTGTCTGTCTGTCTCTCTCTCTCTCTATGCATGTCTCTCTGTCTCTCTCTGCCTGTCTCTGTCTGTCTGTCTCTCTCTCTCTCTCTCTCTCTGCCTATCTCTCTATCTCTCTTTCACTCCTCTCATGCACTACCCTCTCTCTTTTGCTTCCTCTATTTGTTTTTGTTTTTTGCCGAGAAACATGACGTGTAGTTCTATTTTGGTCCATGACGTTAGATTGTGGAAAGCTCCACATACGGTGTGATTTTCCACGATCCAATATTGTGACGTATTTCCTCACGTGTCAAATAAAGGCTCAGACATTGATTACATTTATTTTAAAAATAAGATACAAAATATGGATACATTCTGGTGATGACAAGGTATTACATGTCGAGTTTCGTATGGTTATGGCTTGTTTCGTTTCTTTAAGTTATATGATGTAGCTGTCTTCAAGCATATTTTTCAATTTAAAAAAATGCAACTTTCAAGCAAAATAGGAGCGAGAAAAAAAAATAATAAAATCGAAAGAAATAAACTTGTTACTTTGAATATCCAGAGAAAAAAGCTGTCATCAAGATCGAGTGCTAGAAATTAAGTTTCACAAACACAATCCATCAACTACAAGCTTTAATTGGAAATGATAGTCAATACTGAGCTATTCACAGACTGAATTTACTACGCATCTACCTTTCTGTGAACTGCATTTTATTAACACGACATTTAACCTTCATTTTAAGGCATTGTACTCCCCTCAAAAACAAAAAGGTATAAGAAATATCCTCTGATTTTAATGTCCAAATTCACTTAATTGACAGCATTAAAAATCCTGCACTTTTGCCTTGCATTATGATAATTTTATAGATCGGCTAGATCTTCAGACCATGAAACATGATAAGATCTCGACAGTGGGTGGATGTCATAAAACAATGGTCAATATGAAATGATACACATAGCTTTTTTTCTAATCCATACTTTTAAAATAAACATCTTCTCTTTTCCATCGACGTTGGTATCCATGGTATTGACGTTTAAGCCACGTTCATCCGATATTTACTCTTTCTGGGGTGGGTGAGTAATGGCTATTTCCGTGCACATGCGCATTGATCTACGCCATACTGCCATGCATTGGAGATGTCCGATAACGGGTTCTCAATGAAAGTTATACATCATTGGCGTTTGGTTGTTCCTAGTTACATGTTGCGTGGATCATTGCGGTTAAGATTATCATCTTGAGATATGTATATCACCCGCTGCCATAACTACCATCATCTATTGGTGTTGATATACTTTGCTATCCTCTTGGAAATATGTCAAGCTCGCCGAACAGGTAAGATGGTACATTGCATTTTCATCTTGGGCAGATAGGTTTTAGATTTTCACGTCGGCTGTGATTAAGGTGTGCCACCAGTGAACGACCATTACACTGCATACATGAATTAAAATTGCTCTTAAAGCTTAACAACTCAACATCTGGTGCAAGGTACATCCGACATAGCAAAACTAACGCATGCAAGATGGATTCTATCCATGCCATGCTATCATAGATGACAGGTAAATTGAATAGCTCGTCATATTATTTAGGGTCATTGGAGACATCTCGTAGTGTTAGAGATCCGTGCTCCTCGAGATGAACATGTATGAAAGAGCACATAGTAATAAACATAGTATTTTATATCATACATCAGGTTTCAAATTTGTGCCTTGCCTGAATCAAGGATTCAAGAACGGGGCCAACAGGGAATTGACACCCTCTGTACTATGTCAAACCTGAACACCGTTTTCTTTCAACCTGTGGACGGAAAAAAGATGAATTATTCAGATGGGAGAAATAGAGGAGAACTTTGGAACAATATTATAGGTGTAAATAAAAAATGGTATGAAATAGAAATATTTAGGGAACGGCCGAGCGAAGGAACTTGGAAGATATTAGCGTTTAAATGTCGTAAAAGGAGGATAAGGAGGAGAAGACAAGTAGGAAATATTAAGCCAGGAGACAGTGGAGTCGAGGAATGAAAGAGGAGAAACTGTGAATAGATAACATGGGACATGAAAGACAAGAAAGTAGAAATATTAACAAATAACTGGGGAAAAAAGTACAAGATTCAGGAAATTGGACTTGAGAGGAAATATATTGAGAAAAGTAGAGACAGAGGATAGAGAAAGAAAATACAATGAACTATCTTCCAAGGATCTTTAAGGAAACGAAGAAATAATTGCGTCGACCACTTTCGTAAACCTCTCATAAAATTACTACCATAACTATTTCTCGAACGATCTACAGGAAAACTCCGCCAAATATGAATGAAAATTATAACATTTGTATGATGATAGTGCAACCCATCCATCTCAAGGGATATACTCAAATAAGCAGTATTACTACTTCGCAAGACACGCTCCCTTAGGGCCTTTCATCGTGAGAGCCACTCTGTCTTATCTCTTTTTATCTCTCTCACTCTCTCTCTCTCTTTCTCTCTTTCTCTCTGTTTTTCTGTCTGTCTGTCTCTCTCTCTCTCTCTATGCATGTCTCTCTGTCTCTCTCTGTCTGTCTCTGTCTGTCTCTCTCTCTCTCTCTCCCTATCTCTCTATCTCTCTTTCACTCCTCTCATGCACTACCCTCTCTCTTGCTTCCTCTATTTGTTTTTGTTTTTTGCCGAGAAACATGACGTGTAGTTCTATTTTGGTCCATGACGTTAGATTGTGGAAAGCTCCACATACGGTGTGATTTTCCACGATCCAATATTGTGACGTATTTCCTCACGTGTCAAATAAAGGCTCAGACATTGATTACATTTATTTTAAAAATAAGATACAAAATATGGATACATTCTGGTGATGACAAGGTATTACATGTCGAGTTTCGTATGGTTATGGCTTGTTTCGTTTCTTTAAGTTATATGATGTAGCTGTCTTCAAGCATATTTTTCAATTTAAAAAAATGCAACTTTCAAGCAAAATAGGAGCGAGAAAAATAAAAAATAAAATCGAAAGAAATAAACTTGTTACTTTGAATATCCAGAGTAAAAAGCTGTCATCAAGATCGAGTGCTAGAAATTAAGTTTCACAAACACAATCCATCAACTACAAGCTTTAATTGGAAATGATAGTCAATACTGAGCTATTCACAGATTGAATGTACTACGCATCTACCTTTCTGTGAACTGATTCTACGCGGAATTATTATCATTATAATCATTATAGTATTAATATTATCATTATAATGATTATAGTATTATTATGATCATTATTATCATTATTATCATTATAATAATAATAATGGTATTATTATTATTATTATTATTATTATTGTTGTTGTTATTATTATTATTTGTATTGTTATTATTGCTGTTGTTATTATTGTTATCATTGGTATAATTATTGTTATAATTACTTGTATCATTGTTATCATCATAACCATCATAATCATCATCAACATCATTCTCCTCATCATCACCGATTTTAGTATTACTAATTATCATCTGACATTATAGAAAATGCGTATTAACAACAACAAAAATTTGAAAAATATAGATCATGCAACCACAGGAATGACAGGGACAGGAAAAGTTAACCTTATTACTATAGCATATGAGTTTTATTTAAAAAATGGTTTGTCTGAACGATATAGGCCTACAAATACTTTTGGTTCATTATAGATTGCTGCATGTTATTCAAAATTGCTCGATTGGATTAATTGATTACGCTCTAGGCTTTGATTCGTCAAAAATAATGACATGGTTAAGTCTAGGGTTATGGTTAGGTATAGTGTTGAGTCCATGGTTGAAGTTCAAAATTTGGATAGTGTTGGGAATTAAACTGTGGTACGATTTATTGTCGCCGGAACCTGTGATGTGTATATGGCAGTATACGCTTCGTATCCCCATGAAAAGTGCTTTATAAATCCATCCACATGTATAATTATCATCATAGCTATGGTACTCTTTTGTTGTATATACAGTGAGACGCATTCGAACCAGTTATGGTAGTACTAGTGGGACATCCTCTTCCTCCTTGTCTACCATCAGTGTGATATGGATTTCATGTGCTGTAATTGGCGTGCTATTCAGTATAGGAATGATCTACTTATGTTACCGTCATTGGATGAGAAATAAAGCTAGAAATGAGGAACGGGAAAGACAGGCCGTGATTGCTACCCAAGCTCACCATGCTGCGAGTAACGATCAAGCTGCTACCAACCACGCGTTATCATCTTATACCCAACCCGGTGAAGGAACTTATTCGACAGGTCCTGGATATCCAAAGACATCCGTTCCACTGTATCCTCTAGAAATGGTACCACCAGCTTACAATCAAGCCATCAATCCGGAGGATTCTTATGAAAAGTATCGTACGGATGAACCAAAATAGTTCCAGTATCTGATTCTATAATAATTGGCTGAGTTTCGTAGCTTCGTTTTAGCTAGGAGGAACAATTCCTTTGTATTTCTACAACAAACAAATTTTTCTACCATCATTTTCTATTTGTGGACTACGTGCAAGGGTGTCACTAGACCATTTTTTTTTGGAGGGGGGGCGGCTTTGTCAAAATCATTTTTTGCTATTTGCCGACAAAGTTCTGAACAATTCCCGTTTGCTAACATAATTCCTGCATGGGGATACCCCACAAAAGTCATATCTCCGTCTAAAAACGACCCCGATTGGATCGTTCAAAATAGACTGCATTCAAGAGGAAACCAATTCATGATTCCTCGAAGAGACCAACGAATTCATTATGTGGCTGACAATCGAGAAAATAACGCGGCTGAACTATACAAACAATACACACTGCATGTATAATACAGTTTTGAAATGTATATTAGTATAGTAAACAGCAAAGAGTTTTGTGATTGATGTTTGTTATCATACAGCAGCGCAGAACTCGAGTTTTTTGAAATATTTATTCCCTTTTTTCATTGACATGAAAAATGTGTATTCTTCTTTACATCAATGCAGTGCTGCCTTATGTCTGAGATATGTAGATTTATAGTGCAGACTATTAAAGTCTCCATAATGTCGATTCTAAGCGAATTGAGCTAATAATGTAATTATCTTTGAACAATAATTTGAGAAATTATGTACTATGTAGTTAGGTTTAGTATAATGTACAGCAAAAATTTAAGTAGTCTTCCTGAATTTATTATCGTTATTATTATTTTATATATTTGATAGAGTTTAATAAGTACTTGTAATGCAGTATCTATATATCTATATATATATCTGTATTCATATACTAATTCCAGTGAGGCATAATGATATAAAAAAGTGACATATGATTTTGAAGTTATCATTAAAAGAAAGATCTGAATATACAAAAATCCTCTGCCCGTAATTCGTATTAATTTGTTTTGGTTACACGGCGTTCCCTGTATGAAACAAAGTTGCTTGTATACCATTTTTAATTTAGTAAAGGATGAATTTTGTAAACGAAAATCAATGTGACGTTCTCCATGATTTTAACTGATGTCTAGCGGACTTGTATGTGTATGTGAGAGAGAGAGAGAGAGAGAGAGAGAGAGAGAGAGAGAGAGAGAGGGGGGGGTAAGAATGATGCAACGTGGGATAGAGCCCAGATATTGTGCAAAATTTTATGCAAACACGTTCACACAGTATGCTAACATAATATTGGCCCATGCTTTATTTGCGGTTCACTGCCTCGACAGTATTAAACTATTATTCCCGACCTTGCCGCTCTTAAACCTCTCATAAAATTACTACCATAACTATTTCTCGGACTATCTATAGGAAAACTCCGCCAAATATGAATGCAAATTATAACATTTGTATGATGATAGTGCATCCATCCATCTTAAGGGATATACTCAAATAAGGCACAAAGTACTACTTCGCAGGACACACTCGCTTAGGGCCTTTCATCCTGAACCAAGAGAGCCACACTGTCGTATCTCTTTTTATCTCTCTCCCTCTATGTCTCTCTCTGTCTCTCTGTTTTTTTACGTATGTCTGTCTATCTCTGATCTGCATGTCTCTATGTCTCTTTCTCTCTCTATCTCTATCTCTCTCTCACTCACTCTCTCTCTCTCTCTCTGTCTGTCTCTCTCTGTCTCTGTCTATCTCTCTATCTATCTCTCTTTAACTCCTCTCATGCACTACCCTCTCTCTTGCTTCCTCTATTTGTTTTTTTTTTTTGCCGAGAAACATGACGTGTAGTTCTATTTTGGTCCATGACGTTAGATTATGGAAAACTCCACACACGATGTGAATATTGTGACGTATGTCCTGGTCCACTCACCACAATGAAAGCGGTGACACCTATTAATAATAAATAATAATAATAACAACATTTATAATGCGCACATATCCACCCCAAGAGATGCTCAAGGCGCCTAACAAGGTAAGTACATTGAACGAAAATAATTTAACATAATTAAATGCGTTTTTCCTTTTTTTTGGGGGGGGGAGGGGGGCTGCGGAGGAGGCGGGACATCGTTTTTGTGAACTGTATAATATGTTACATGTGTTTTCCTAATATAGCTCTATCTAAATGATTTATATTTAATCTCGTTAACTCACTGCTCTTGTCCTTTGTTTTGCATTGTTTTATTCAATTTACTTCAACGTATTTAATCGTCAAAATAATGTACGTTCAACATGGCTACTTGTTTTGCTCACATGTCAAATAAGGCTCGGACATAGATTACAATAACAACAAATACGATACAAAATATGGATACATTCTAGTGATGACAAGGTATTAACAATTCTACATGTCGAGTTTCGTATAGTTATGGCTTTTTTCGTTTCTTTAAGTTATAATATGATGTAGCTGTCTACAAACATATTCATGAATAAAAATATATATCTACCATTAAACACATAGAAAATGCAACTCTCTAACTGAATAGAAGTATATCGGAATAAATCTGATGAGCCAGAAAAATAAAAAATAAAATCTTATGAAAAAAAAAAATTACTATGAATATCCAGAGAAAAAAGCTGTCATCGAGATTGGGTGCTAGAAATCAAGCCCCACAAACACAATCCATCAACTACAAGCTTTAATTGGAAATGATAGTCAATACTGAGCTATTCACAGATTGAATGTACTACGCATCTACCTTTCTGTGAACTGATTCTACGCGGAATTATTATCATTATAATCATTATAGTATTAATATTATCATTATAATGATTATAGTATTATTATGATCATTATTATTATTGTTGTTGTTATTATTATTATCATTGGTATAATCATTGTTATAATTACTTGTATCATTATTATCATCATAACCATCATCATCATCATCATCATCATCATTCTCTTCATCATCATCGATTTTAGTTTTACTAATTATCATTTGGCATTTAAAAATGCGTATCAAAAAAAAAAAAAATTGAACAAGTATAGATCATGCCACTACTGGAATGCCAGGGACAGGAAAAGTTAACCTTATTACTATAGCATATGAGTTTTATTTACAAAATGGTTTGTCTGAACGATATAGGCCTACAAATACTTTTGGTTCATATAGATTGCTGCATGTTATTCAAAATTGCTCGATTGGATTAATTGATTACGCTCTAGGCTTTGATTCGTCAAAAATAATGACATGGTTAAGTCTAGGGTTATGGTTAGGTATAGTGTTGAGTCCATGGTTGAAGTTCAAAATTTGGATAGTGTTGGGAATTAAACTGTGGTACGATTTATTGTTGCCGGAACCTGTGATGTGTATATGGCAGTATACACTTCGTATCCCCATGAAAAGTGATTTATAAATCCATCTACAGGTATAATTATCATCATAGCTATGGTACTCTTTTGTTGTACACTGTTGGTCATAATGGTGGAATATTTATTTTTACCCCAGTTTAGGGAAGGATTTTAAAAAATTATTTATTTCTAATAGATCTAGATAATGGCATACATTCTCAGATTTTATGGAATATTAATTTGCGAGTGTTTGTTTTGCGTGACTGCTTAATCATATGTGTGCTAACTATGCTAATCAGCTAAGGGACCTACGTCCTTAAGTCATAATTGACAGTAATGAGGATTAATGCCTCACAAAAGGGCACTAATATGTAGCTGATCGACACGATTTTTATACTGGGGCCTCACAGTAACGAGGCCATTGCTTAGCCCCTGAATCATGACTGTACGCAGTGTTTGCTAGGGTACGCAGCCCCTTCCACAAATCCCCCCAAACGAAGAAAATGCAATAAATTGTCAAAAATTCATTGCATTTTCCCCCGGCCCCCAACAGGAAAAATTCCTCTGTAGGGCAATGCATTATGGTTCAAGGCATGGCCACTAAATACTAAATACAAATGATCATCTGCCTGTAATTTGTAATAAATCGTGTTATTACATGGCGTTCCCTGTATGAAAAAAAAAAGTTGCTTGTATACCATTTTTAATTTAGTTAAGGATGAATTTTGTAAACGAAAAATCAATGTGACGTTCTCCATGATTTCAACTGATGTATAGCGGACTTGTATGTGTATATGAGAGGGGGGTGTGCTGATGATGATGCAACGTGGGATAGAGCGCAAATATTGTGCAAAATTATATGCAACCACGTTCATAGTATGCTAACATAACTGGCCCATGGTTTATTTGCGGTTCACTGCTTCTATTATTCCCGATCTTGCCGCTGACAACACAAAATATTATTGTAGTTATTATTACGACTCGCTCACTGCAGTCAGCTATTATATTTGAAGTCATCCATACATTCCATGCTTATTCATTTCCTGGTGTGCTAGTGTGGTAATATTCTTTTCTGCTTCAGACTTCAGAAGTGTTGAATTGTGTGAAAGTATTACTATACGTGTTCATGGACGTGTCGTGGTATAGAGGGATCTTTTTCACGTATATCGTACAAACTGAGGCATTATATTGGCTTTCTATAGCCTGATTAGAAATGGATGACATGTTGGTATATGTGTTCATATATGGACTCTGTTGTACACTACATGGAGCTGGAGCACTCAGCAATACGGGTAAGGTTATATTCATGTTTATTACCATCTGTTATAGTAATTGAGGTTATGCCACCCTATACGAAGTTAACACCGAAATAAACAGCATAAATGAATCTCATATTAAAGTGTGTTTGCTTCGTGAAATGGGATCCAAACGGGATTTTAATCATCTAGTTCAGACACACCACTTTACAAGTAAATCATCAGATGAATATAGAATCTCATTTGAGTTAAAAGCCGGTGGTTCTGCTAATCAATGTGACCGTAATATTACAAATCAAAAGAGGAAAATCTGTTTTAGTCAATCAGGTAAGAAGAAAGATTATGTTTCAAGGATAATATAGGCCTTACCTTTTCCCCTTCCTTCTTCCCTAGAGTATCTAACAGACCTGACTTGATACATTATGAAATGTCTGTCTCATTTCAGTTCGTGTGAAATGAATCTGAAATAAATTAAAACTCTATAACACCATCCGACCCATGGCATGTAATTAAAAGCACGATCAAATTGTGTTGCTCCTACTGTCTCATACCTTGTCATGTCATCATTATTTCATAATAGCTGCAAATGACAACGATATACGTTTATCAATAATCTTCTAAGTTACATAGTACATAATCTTGCTTTACACTCTAAACTCTAAACTAAAAATCGCCAAATAAAAGGGCCGACGGTTGACATTTATTTATACATTTATAAATTATGAATTTATTAAACCATATACATGTAAAAGCAAAACATACAATAGAAAGTAGAATAAATAATATTTCCAAATACAAAGCAAATACATGGTCAGGACCACAAAGAAGCAAACTGCTTTTAAATAGGGGTCCCACAAAAAAAAAAAAAATCAAATATACTTCAGCCACTTTACCTACACACGCACACATACACACCCACACTAGATAAAACAAGGCTATTGTACAGAATATATAAAACATTACCAGGCAATATAAATTTTAATTAAATTCAGCAATGTATAAAATAATACTAAAATATAACATTTTTACAACGCTGTTATTCCTCAACTGGTCATTTTGATGGTGATTTAACATATTTATGTAGTTTATGTTGTGGAGAGTATAGCATTATTTTTGGCAGTACTTCTTGCTTCTCTAATCATATTCCTCTCTCTCACCTGAATTTAGTGAGTGAGATACGTCTACTTAGTGGTTCATCAAGCATCGAGGGCGTGGTTGAATACCGGTATGATAGAAAAACTGGTCTCATCTGTGATCAGGACTGGAGTCATCTTGAGGCAGGGGTAGTGTGTCGCCAGCTAGGCTATCAGCAAGGACAGAGTCTAAAACCAGTATCACTTGGACAACTGTCTGGTGTCATCTGGAACAGGTATTATGATTGGTTTATAGTGTTAACTGACATTCTTTATCCGCCTACTATGAATCTTCATTACCTATTGATATAATAGGACCTACATCAGTTTGCTTCTCGCAAGACGATCGATATGATAGCATTTACATGTAGCCTACTTGCTCAAGAAACATATTCGATAACAAGACGGATGAATAAAAAATATTAATGGTGGTAGATACACAATGGTTAGTAATTTTTGGGCAACTTAAAAAAGATAGGAAGTAAAGATGATAAGAACAATTTAGTTTATCTAGGAGGGAAGCCTCATCAGCATCTACTATGTCTATGCTGTGCTTCCTGAGGGTCCTGTAATAATAATTTTAACAAATTACTACTACTGCAGCTTTTTCAATACATCTGAGTTACCACAAGTATGTAAGAAAAAGGTTCCAATTTTTTTCTCGATACATTTACAACCACAAATTGTATAAAATCAGGATCATTGAGAGAGGATAAAGGTAAATGGCTGCATCAATATCAATATCTAATACTACTGGTATGCCAGTATATACTCGGGATTAGTTTTACTAATATTACTGATAAATTCGATTTTACTTTATGGTTTAAAATTTACTCGTTAAGTTGACATCTTGCTATTTTTGTCTCGTATATTATTATGCTTGCTTATAAATCACCTATTGTTTGTATAACTTAAATGTTCATATTACGTTGTGTTAGTTTGCAGAGCATTCGTGTAAAACAGTTTCGAAATCACTGATGGAGCCACCCTGGTAAAACTAGATTCGTTAAATAAATGATTAAATAGATAAATACATGAATAAATAAATACATGAATTAATTTATTATATTAAAAAGATAATAAATAGATTAAGTATATAAATACATACACTGTTGGTCATAAAGGTGGAATAATTATTTTTACCCCAGTTTAGGGAAGGACCTTAAAAAATTATTTATTTCTAATAGATCTAGATAATGGCATACATTCTCAGGTTTTATTGAATATTAATTTGCGAGTGTTTGTTTTGCGTGACTGCTAAATCATATGTGTGCTACTATGCTAATAAGCTAGGGAACTTACGTCCTTAAATCATAATTGACAGTAATGAGGATTAATGCCTCACAAAAGGGCACTAATATATAGCTGATCGACACGATTTTTATCCTGGGGCCTCACAGAAAGGAGGCCATTGCTTAGCATCTGAATCATGATTGTACGCAGTGTTTGCTAGGGTACGCGGCCCCTTCCACAAATCCCCCAAAACGAAGAAAATGCAATAAATTGTCAAAAATTCATTGCATTCCCCCCCCCCCCCCGGCCCCCAACAGGAAAAATTCCTCTGTAGGGCCATGCATTATGGTTCAAAACATGGCCACACAGAAGAATTTTTCCTGTTGGGGGCCGGGGGAAATGCAATGAATTTTTGACAATTTATTGCATTTTCTTCGTTTTGGGGGATTTGTGGAAGGGGCCGCGTACCCTAGCAAACACTGCGTACGGTCATGATTCAGGGGCTAAGCAATGGCCTCATTACTGTGAGGCACCAGGATAAAAATCGTGTCGATCAGCTATATATTAGTGCCCTTTTGTGAGGCATTAATCCTCATTACTGTCAATTATGACCTAAGGACGTAGGTCCCTTAGCTGATTAGCATAGTATCACACAAATGATTAAGCAGTCACGCAAAACAAACACTCGCAAATTGATATTCAATAAAACCTGAGAGTGTATGCCATTATCTAGATCTATTAGAAATAAATAATTTTTAAAAATCCTTTCCTAAACTGGGGTAAAAATAAATATTCCACCATTATGACCAACAGTGTATATACATACAAACATTGATAAATAAATGAATAAGTATAGTATAATTTTATAAATCATGATCACACATCAAGACACATTTGTAGCAGTATTACTTAGTAGAAGTGGTAATAATGTTGTTTTGTTGTGGCACTACAGGGATTTCGGATGTAACGGAACCGAAGATCGTCTTGAGGATTGTGCCTTCACGGATATAATCCTACAGGACGGTCAGGACCCACAACAGGTCTGTCACTCAGATCACATTGCTCAAGTCTCTTGCGGACCTCCACATGGTGAGTAAGATCTATACGATTTTATGAACAAGCACAAGTAAAAAATATGTAAATTATGATAATACAATAATACGAAGCATTATTTATTTATCTATCTATTTATTTATTTCTTTATCTATCTATTCATTTATTCAGTTGATTATTTATTTATTCATTCATTTATTTACCCATGTTTTCTTGAAAAAGCAAGGTGGTCCTATTCAGTGAAATGACCATTGATAGTGTGCCAACTGTAAGTGACAGTGAGAGCAATGATTGACATCATCCATGAAATAATGAAAGAGGAATTATATACAAAATAAAGTTGCCACGAAGATGAAAATAATTAATCTGAAAAAAGATATGAATTAGACTTGTAAGATATGTCCTTAACGATTCTACCGAATGTAATTAGTGGAATGACGTTCCTTTTTATATAGAAGCATAGACTTACGATGTCGGATATTCTTGCAGCCCCCCCCCCCCCCCTCACCTGAATTTCAAATGACCTATTTCGGCCATTATTTGGGCAATGGTTAACTCATTATTTGGCACCAAGGTGCATGGACTACTTCTAGTATTTCCACCACTGCATCCCATCTCTCTCTCTCTCTCTCTCTCTCGCTCTTTCTCTCTCTGTCTCCCTCTCTCCCCCTCTCTCTCATTCTCTCTTTCTTTCAATCTCTCCAGATTTCGACATCCGATTGGCTGGAAGTAACTACACAGAGCAGGGTCGTTTAGAAGTCTTCCTAGACGGTGAGTGGGGTTCTGCTACCCATGGCGGATCATTTGATGAGGCCAGTCTCGATGCCGTATGTAGGCAGCTTGGGTTTCAAGCCGGATCAACTTATCGTCACGATGATGGCGTTTTCGAGAGAGGAACTGGAAGAATTCTGATCGATGACTTACAATGTGACATGTACACGGGTCCGTTATCAATCTTAACAACTGAAATCTCTCAATGCAATGTGGTGCTTACAAACAGTAGTATATCAACACGAACGCATGAAGACGAGATAGGAGTCATCTGCTACCCATATAGTAGGTTTCCTTTTGATTTAAAGATCTAATACTTTGCTTCTTTCATGAAACCTATGAATTTTAATCACATTAAGTCCCAAATCATTTGTTTATAAACATAAAGAATAAATTTATTCATTTGTATTCTGTGAATTATTTGGCAAATGATCCTTCTTTTGTCTCCTTTGAACTGCTGTCTCCCGACAAAGTATTACATATTGGATTTCACCTAGGCCTACTCAGGATTTTAAAAGTATGATATATCCAATAGATGAACAGAATTGCATATCTATTTGGCTCCTTCCATTACCATTCATGGGTTTTATTAATTAATTTCAAGTTTCATGCAGGCCTGCTCCTTCTATAGTCCATACAGGCCTTTACAATTGTAATTGTAAATCATTTTCGTGTATGAGAAGAGTGTAACCAGCAGTTGTGAAAATGTATAGCAGTCCTTATAGCTTCTCAATTGTGCAATGTAATTATAATAATTTGGGGGGTATTATTTCGAGGGGAAGTGGGGGTTAACACATGATTTTTTTTTATTCGGGGCAGATCCTCCCTGGACTAGCGGTACAAAACATTAAAAGCTTTATTCCATACAAACTCTTTTGGACACTTAAAGCTATTGAAGTAATGAAAAATTTCCTTACTATTGAATGTCTCATAAATACCGTGCAAGAATTTGTATTATTGAAACAGAAACATTTTAGCCATACGATAGGGAGATGAGATGTTTGGAGGAGACCAGGGACCCGTTTAACAAAACTTGTCATCAGTGAAAAATGACCGTTTTTGTTATAAACTACTGAAATTCTTGCTTCTGGTTGGTTATCAGCAGATTTGTCACTGATATTTGCCATTTGTCATTGAAAAAAGGCTTTGTGAAACACCCCCCTGAATGTAAGTATTAAACCGAGATCTTGTCCATGATTACGAGTGTCTTATTAAAACTGTATATCTTTTGTTTGAGACAGAATCTGTAGCTAATCATCCTGTAAGACTAGTCGATGAACAGGGGGAAATCAACACGGATTATGGACGCGTTGAGGTCTACCACGATGGAGAATGGCGTTCTGTATGCTTGACAAATTATATCCGGTTTTATTACGTGAGTTTGACATATTATGTTGCTATGGCAAAAGTTGCAATATATGCAAATCTGCAATCGAAATGTGCAGGTTTATACAGAAAGATGTAAATTAGGAATGGTGAAAGAACAAAGCCCTCGCCCAAATCGATGGTGACCGGATGTAAACACAGGGGCGTCTGGATGTGACACTTACATCAACATTTTTGTTGGTAATCCAAAATCCCCTTCTTTTTTGTTATAACATGCCTATAAGCAAATCTTGCCTCATAAAAAAAAAGATTCTTACTTTCACTCGTTGGTAAGTTTTCAACTCTAAGAACGTCTGAGAAAATATTTTGAATTTTATATTAAGCACCCTCGGCTTAGAACGTAAAAGTGCGTGAACAAAACTTTATTATGATTTTTATTTCTTTGGCAACAGATATTCATTGTCTATACCAATTTGAATTATGTACCTTTCGTACTTTATATTTGTATTAATTAATTCATTAATTTATTTATTATTCTATTTTTTTACAGGATATCTCAAGAATGAATTAAGCCATGACGATAGATCCTAGTTTACTTTTTGCTTTTGTTTTGTAAATCCAAAATTTTAGAAAGTATGTTTGGAAGTAGACCCGGATTGGTCTTTCTTCTGGGACAGACTGGATCTCACTTCTTACAACTTATCGACATCCTCAAAGCAGTCTTGGTTTGAGCTTCGATCTTGTCTTGGACTAGAAAGACTCTATCAATGTGATCACAGTGCATGGGGTCAATCAGGACAGTGCCCTGTTCAAAACATTGCTGGAGTGAGTTGCCGCTTTCCATTAGTCACTCCCGGACCAACATGTAAGTGGACAGTCTATCATTAAAATTAACCTTTCATATACAGCTTTCATTAGTATTATGTAATAGTGATTTATAGGAATGATATTACTAATGTATCGTCTCAGGTATATAGGCTTACATTATATTCTGTATTTACATTATAAAATTATGTTCCTATGTTTTTTTTGTAATAGAAAACTGAAAAGGAAGTTGATGGGTTTAAACTAGATCATTTGGTGTTTTATTGAACCAGAATCAATGTCATGTTATAATATCACTTTAGCTTCTCAATGAGCGCTATTAGATCATAATGGTTGAGATCTAGCCATAATAAGAAATGTGAGTTATTGACATAAGATTGAAGTGCGCATGTTCCAGTCAACCCATCGCTTCCTTCTTTGTATAGTACGCAGTGGCGTATCCACAAATTAATGAATGAAGGATCTCGGGAGAGGGGGGGGGGACAAATGATAGTTGTGTCTATTGTTACAGTTGCTATTGTTTTAATCACACTCCCTTAATAATTATATATCCATCTCTTTCAAATCCATTTAGTAGAAAGCACATCAACAATGAAACATAATACTTTTAAAGCTTCATCTTGACAGAATTACATGTCATGTTTCGGATAAATGAATTGAAGAAGAAAATATTCACTTACTTAAGTCAATTAATCAATTAATCAATCAATGTCTTCCTTATACAAATTTACAGTCGATCCACCGATGTCTCCTGATGGGCCCGAGCCATGGCTATGGATTTTAGTTAGCTTCGCATTTCTCGTTATCCTATTCTGCATAATCCTTTGCTGCTGGCGTTGTTATAAAGGGATACAGTCACACGCTTCTTCTGCTCGTCACTCATCTTCAACCAACATGGTCGAAGTCACGGCGACCTATCCCACATTGTCGAATCCTGTTCCTGCAGCTTCAGCTCCAGCTCCCGGCTACCACTGGACCTCAACCACCAATAATGACTTGCCTCCATCGTATGACTCGGTTGTTGCTGGATCACATCCACGAGTAAAAACAAACGGAACAGAGACAGAGGATACAGGCGGGGAGGGGGGGGGGTAATTGAAGTACCCCTTGCGACGGAACTCTAGATATGACTGTGCCTGATGAAGGAATCCAATGACATTAAACTGATGTAAATTACACGGCCATCGCCCTTCTGCCGGGAACATGGGCGTCCCAGTTGGGTTAGCATTTTGCTTTGTTAATGATTATCATTTTTAACATCAACCAATAATAAGATTATTACTAATAACAACGGTAATGGCTGATGAATTCTTTTTATGGCCTTGTACAGGGGTGTGGTTGGTTTTAGGGGGTGTTAATGGGACACCGTCATGTTGTCCATATTATGGTAAAATTTTAGGATCATAGTAAATACCCTTTTTGTTCAACTCCCCTATGTTTCTTGAACGTGACGTCACTCCAATAGCGTTGGTAGATCTGGCTGGAATATGAAAGATACACAAACATCAAAGCTGTGGTGCAATTATGAAATGATATCGGCTGATGCATGGTTATTGTGGAAAAACTTCATAACATTTTATGTGCATTAATATTATCATATCTTATGTTTGATTGAGTCATCATAATATAGGTCTACTTATTCTTTGCCGTTGGTTAGTCTAGATTCCATCAAATCCGAAGTACATTGTCTACCGTTCTCAGTTTTTCTGTTTATAGAAACAGAGTAAGGTAAGTACAGTGTTTAGCCATCTCGGTTACAATGGATGGCATTATGGCAGGTGTTTTTTTTAACTATTCATGTGCTTGCCTGACAAAGCAACACGCGCCATATACCCACTGAAATGGAGTTGGCCCGACTCGTCATTTGCCCCCATTATAAATGTATATATTTAAACACTACAATTATTCCTACCCTTACCAAACTGTAATTTTTTAGAGTGTGTGAAATTTGTCCCGATTTATGTTTTTGAGAAGGTGACATGTAAAGGAATTCAACCAGTTCACCTTTCATGCTCGTGTTATGAAAAACACAAACAAACTAAAAATGTCCAATACTAATTCAGAGTATATATATATATATTATATGCATATTTATACGGTTTAAAGATTTTTATTATACTCAAGTTGTGGATTAACAACATTTGGTAGGTATTCAGTTTACAGTAAAAATTCTACCGGTAACTCTATACCCTGGGATAATATTCTAAGCTCTCTGTCTATCTCTCCCCCTCCCCCTCCCCTCTCTCTCCCCCCCCCTCTCTCTCTCTCTCTCTCTCTCTCTCTCTCTCTCTCTCTAAGAGAGTGGACACCTACATACATTAACCCGTTCAATGTCACAGAGTCAAGCTTATGTGTACATAAGCGAAACGAAACGATTAAATACGAAACGATTATCTATTGCATTCCATGTTACCTCATAATTTTGTATATCATGAGTTACAATGTATTCAAACAATTGCTATATTAGGTTTCATTTATATAAATCTTCGGATGTATTATGGTACATTATATCATGGTAGGGTCCATGATTATATCATTTACTTTATGCATTATGTGTTATATTATTACAAGAAGCAAGTAGAGTTTCTCTGCTGTATATAATTTTCCTTTTTTTGCTATGCTGCATTGTAAATTAATTTATCTGATATATATGCTTACAAACAGAATATTGAATTGTTACATTGCATTGTAAATTGATTTATAAGATTTATATGTTTATAAACGTATTATTGATGTACATCAATGAAGTTAAATGAATAATCCCTTTTAGCCTTGCTTTATCACTTTTAGCAGTGCAATATAACTTTTACCCGTGCTCTTTCACTTTGAGCCATGCCATTTTTGCAAAAAAAATCAAACTTTTTAACCTTCTTTGTTTTCTCATCATGGAAGTCCTACCATGCCCCATGAAATATATAATGACTACCGTTTGTTTTCAAAAGGGGCATTTAGGCCAATTTGCTCAAACTTCGAAAAAAGCCACTGTTTCGTAAAAATGGCAAGGGGTTAGTTACCATTTTTGTCAAATAATTAAATTTTTAAATCTTCTTTGTTTTCTTATCATGGAAGTCCTAACATGCCCTCGGAAATATATTGATCACTGTTGGTTCCTAAAAGGTGCTTTGGGGTACATTTGGGAAAAATTCTTTATCGCCACTTTTTGGCTAAAACTGCAAGGGGTTCAATCAAAGATAATTTCAAAATTTGGAAGCCCCAAACAGTCTTAATCTGGTATTTTCCCGCAGTGTTATTTAAACCTTTTGTCTGATCTTGAGTTTGTGATTTCAATTTCTTTTTAAACGTGGTTTTTCGTGGTGCCTGGGGGTGTTTTATAAAGCTGTGGGTAAAGTTACGCATGACTTTAGGAATGACATGAATATGAAGAGCTTAATGAGATTCTCAAATCCTTTTAATTGCATAAAATAAAGTTGAAATATGCAGATGTAAATTACCTCATCAAAACATTTTAATGCAAAGTGTATATTTGGCTACAATTTAATTGAGATTATGGGAAATACAGTCACACTTTTTAAAATATCAGGAAAAACTTCCTATTTGGCTCTTCATATTCAAATCATTTGTGGAGTCATTAGTAATTTTACGTGCAGCTTCATAAAACACCCCCCCCCCCCCCATGTCACATACATGTGTGATTGATACATTATTAAAGGTACTATGTCCCTTTTGCAGCCAACCTCAAATTCTGTAGAACTTTACAGGAATTATGAATATGTCATGTATGTCCTATCCATGAAATTTAAATGTTAGCAGTGTCCTAGTATTTAAATTATGCAAGGAAACCTGTTTACTTGCTAGACTTCACTGTCAGACACTATTGAGTGACTGAGTGGCTTTTGTTTCTTCTTTGATAATAACATACATAAAATGAGCTGTAAAGGGTACAAGAGCATTAATTTTGCCTACATCAATAACCCACTTCTTGTGATGGCCAAAATTAAACTGATTGAATCTTTGCGCAGCATAAAATGTATGACCATTCAGTACAATGGTATGAAAATCAAGACTATTACTTATTGGCTCTATAGCTCCTAAGTCGATTTGACAACTAATAGTTGATATTTTCCCACTTGAAGACATTTTCAAGCCCCACCTTTTTTAGGGAAGTTCTAAATTAGTATTATCTTTTAAATGCCGTTGGAATTTAACCCTTTCATTTTTTGGGCCTGCAAATGGGACATAGTACCTTTAAGGTAAAGGAACTACATTATAGCATTGATGTTAATCAATCATAAAGAATGAATGTCACATAAGCTTGATGGCAAGGCAATCTTTTGTGATATAAATATACAGGCATATCGGAATATTATCCCATAACAGAGAAATCTTCTACTGAAAACATGTTCTGGTACGGCATACAGCAATTTTATTCCTGTGCTTTAAAAAAATTGCTATTCCTCCACAACTTGCATGTGGTGAAGTGTTTTATGAACTTTATTAAAAATGGGATTTGACTGAACGTTTTCAAGATGCTTTTGCCTTGCCATTTTAAATTGATAAAGGTCTGTTAAAAACATCCTGATATGTAAAAAGAATAATATTTACAACGACTAAATTTTGATATATTTACATCAGGGATTCCTTGAATCCTTGCTTTTAATAACAATACAAAAAGTAAACAATAGAAATTTACCAGGAATCACATAATTAAATTATTCAGTGTAAAGGAAAATCTGTAATATTGTAAACATAATATCACATTCACATGCTAAATTATTACCAAAAAATATAAATATATGGACAACAATTTAAAATCTTCAATCAAATCAATATCAAATAATGTTGAGCAAAGAGAAGGTTTCACTTTGTCACGAATTATTAAAGCATACATGTAAAAAATACAGAAAATGATACCAAGTCTGCAAGATGGGATTAACCTATAATGTATTTTGTGCAATTACCTAAAAAGAACTTTAAATGAGTTTTACAATTGAAACAAGGTGCATTGAAATTAAGCTATTTAGTTTCCTGCTATTTAATGCAATTAGAATATAATAGAAAACAAGGTCTACAAAAGAACATAAAAGACCTTTAAAAATTGCATCACATATATATATTGGTAAACCTAACTTAGAGCATTGGGCTTAGGACACACAAAGAGACTGCATAAAAAGTATGGCCGAAATATCATGAATGATTATCAATGCAAACAATAGATTTTACACCTCTTGCTGCTATTATAAAATAATTGTTGAAATTGTACACTATGAATTATGTGATGATAATACAGGTACACGTCCATCTATCTCTATATGCAATGAGTGGAGTGAATACCACAATCAGAGAGGCAGAAACATCAAATTATGACAGACACACATATCAGGCTTGGTACAAACTACTACAGGTTCTATAATTGATCATAGCCTATAATAATGGGCCAGCTTGGTCATGTAACACAAAGTCAGCAGCTGATTGATGTGTACAATCAACTAATCGATCGATCATAATCAATTGCTATGCTTTGTGAAGCCTCCAATAGCTACAATGACATTCCACACATCACATACATACATATATATTCATGTAAATGACCATATTTTGGATGTTGCTTTGGTTTTTTTAAAATAAAGGCTACTCTGCAAAAGGAGACCTTAAATACTCTGATAGTTTGAAATCCAGGCAACAAAATAATGCAAATATTCTGAAGAAATCATAACTTGTATGAAGAGGCAAGGCAGTCAAAATGTGTGAATCAACGGTGCAATCTTTCAGAGCAATGTCAAGTCTGTTCTCTAACGAAGACCACTGAGTTGTCCTAAAAGAATACATGCCCCATTGTCCTGTAATGGGTACTGATAAGTGTATCCTGTATTCAGATACCATGATGTCCTAAGTTCCAATGCTCCTAGTCAAGTTTACCAGCTCATTGTCATTCCACTTCTTCAGGTCTGACAGGGTTCTTCAGAGGAATCACAGACTTCTTATCCTTGTCTTTACTCAGAGCCTTCCGCATATCTATCATGAAAAGAAAACACGAATGAGATCATTAGCTAAATTGCCCCAAAACCCTCTATCTAAATTGGCAATCCCAAAACTAATGGGCCACTACAAAGGAAATAATGACAAAGACTCTCCATTTTGACTGAGAATCAAGGTTTGTATACATTTTTTAGTTCTTGGTACATTTTAACTCTTATGAGAAAGTGCTTTTATGAACAAAACCAAAACTAAATTACACATTTCTATCATGATAAATGACTTGCTTTGTACACATTTGATGACTTGCTATGTAAGAAAGGGATAGCAGGCACTTGGGTATAAATCAACGCTATCATCTCATCACCATAAAAAGTAGTTATCGTTCAAATTATAAACTTGAATAAACAAAAAACCAAAACCGAAAAATGCAACTGCCTTGTGATAAAAAAATGAAGGTTGATTGTTCAATCGGATGAATGTAAACAAAGTTGATTTACAACAATCACTTTGAGGTATTCCAATATGCATTTGTGCATCATTCTCCCTCACCTTTATGCCTACTAAATCTACTAATAAAAAACCTGCTGTATCCTCTGATACCACTGCAACCAACCATACTTACCATAAGCATCTTCGTCAGGATCGCCTGAGTAGTATTCTAGTACCTTCCTGTATACAGTGTAACCTAGACGGGTGTACATGCTGGTCGCAATCTCATTTGACACACGGACAAACAGGTCAACAAAGTAACAGTCTTTTCTGTCAAAACAACAAGAAAGCATTGATCAATATCCATCTTCTTCTTTTCAATTAAAATCAATTTGCTGGTAGAATGGTTCCTAACATTTACAAAAGTGCTTCCAAACTGTCAAATTTGACTGGGGTTTGTGTATTCATCTATGCCTACAGACACTATTCGCTTGGGGATGACAACTTGAATTTGTTATTAATGTTAAAATAACAAATTAATTTAATTGTAAGTCATCAGCAATTCAGCATTCATGTTCTCTTTTTAATAAGTCCAATATCTTATAATTCTATAATGTTTGAAATCAAGGTAAATAATCCTATCTTTTTATTTTGCTTGTTGTTCTCCTTCTTGTAAATTCAAAGGGCCATGCAGCCTTTAATGAAAATAAATTAAATTGCAAGTGGTGTGAGGGACATAGCAATCCCCTGGGTAGGATTTTATAAATCCAAAAAAAAGTTACACCCATGTAATGATTGCATGAAAACTAACCTCTCCGATATCTCCTCCAGAATATTCATCATGATCGCAGCCAATCCCAGCCTCCGATATTCTGGGGCAACGGACAATGCAGTCACATGACCATGCCATGTCTCTTGGGCGACAGATCCTTCAGCTTTGCCCATGACTACACAATGAAGAGGAAATAAAAGAGAAATCATTCAATTCAAAAATAGTGTTAAAAAAACATCATTTAAAATTCTCACCTCACAGAATAAGTGCAGGTATGCTGAAAGATAAGATTTATTCCTGAATCTAACTCAATTCTTTGAAATGAAACAACATAAAATGAACAATACCCCACAATCAAAGGTTTTTGGGGGTTTTTTTCTTGACAATGTCAATCATATTAATTTACTTTATTTTTTAGATGGACTGCACACATCAAAAATGCTATTTGTTGCCTTTGTTTTTTCAGTGCATTTTTCCCTCCACAAAACAAAACAGAACACATATCTATATGATAAGTAATCATGTACATGTAGGTAACTTTCTGTCCGGGGATGTTGCACAAAACCGTCACAACTACAAGATCACGACATCTCCACGCTGTTGCTGGACTTTTTCTCTGAGTGTTTCACAAAACCGACTTTGCCAAGATGAGCACCAAAATCCAAGACAAGAGACTTGTCAGGACTCACTCCAAACCTGTAATATCTTTTTAGAACTCCATCTATAGGCAATTTTAAGTTAGACTATGGGCAGCGAAAAAAATGAAAACTGGAAATGTATTTCAAAACTTATTTCTTGATCTTCATGCTCTTATTTCACTGATCAGTTCTCATTGGTTTTAATACAAAAACATTAAACAAGCATGCAAGCTGTTGTTATAAAGTTTTAATACCTTAACAAAGCAATAACTATTATTTGTCCCAGAAGATCAAACAGTCTGTAATTGAAGACCCAAGAGAATGAGTTTCATCAATTTTTACAAATGTTTAGATATCACTCATTAATAACAAAAGTTTTCATGTCAATGGGATGTCTGTATATTTGTGCTACCACTCTCTAAGATTTTTACTTTTTAAACAGCTTGAGTGAAATTAAGCCTCTTATTCTCTTTTTGTAAAACTAATTCAAGATAAAAATCTGATGGATCGTGACAAAGACAATTTTTGTAAACAGATAGTATAGAAATCATGAATTTGTCACTTATCAAGGGTTTGTGAAACAGGTTGTCTGCTTCCTGACATCTTAGTTGTAGGTGGCGGACAAAGATATGACTGTCAGGAGCTGGTTTCACAAAACAACATCCTAAGGGTCAAAAGTATATTTTTTGCTTTACTCACTGTATCCCATGATTTGACCTCCAGGGGCTTCACAAACTTGAACATACTCAGGCCAATGAGCCAAGTATTGAAGATAGAATGGAATCCCATACTGACCATCATAGCTTTGGTTAAGGAAATAAACTATTGGTGAGCGATTCATTAAGATAATATCTCTTGATTTGCTTTGTATTATTTGGAGGTGTTGCGGTATAGTGGTTTATTCACTTGACTCTCAATCCAAAGGTTGTGGGTTTGAATTCCAGCCCAGCGCTAATGTTCTTTGGCAAGACATTAATCCATATTTTGCCACTCTCCACCAAAGTGTTATTGATACCCAGTAGGATGTAAAAGTTATTGTAGTTTGCTCAGCATTGTGAGCAACTGTAAAATGGCGTCTGGCTGGAATGCTCCCTAGGGAGTGGAGAATATACCGTACATATATTGTGCTTTAGAGACTGTTAATGAATTTTGTGCTACATAAACCTTATCTTATTATTTTGATCATTATAATTGTTCAAATAACAGGGATAAGTTATCGTAAATTCAGTTTTCTTTTACAATTCTTGCAAACCTCCAAATTCCCTTTTCTCCCTTTAACAGAATGTCAGTTTAATTTGAACTTTAAATAATCACTTTCACACATAATTTTTTTTACATTTCAAATGATGCATTAATGCAAACATTTTCATTTTATCCTTTACTAAATCATTTATAATAAAGTTTAGGAAATACCCCCTTATCTATGAGGTACAATCTCTTCATAATCAAGCTCAACAAAAATATCTTGATATTTTAATCATGGCAAAGCTTTCCATAGACTAGCTTTTCTATCAAATATTCTGAAATGGTGTTCATTTTAAATGATTAAAAGGCATTTTGTAAGGATACAGTTTCTGTGAGATGGTCCATATTCCTGTAAAAAAATAAAAACAATACAATTATTGATCATAAAACATTTATTTCTAAGTTTTAAAGTAAAAGTATTAAAGTATCTCTAGAATTTCATCAAGTACTACATATCAACATTGGCCATGTAATTTATACTATGTACCCAACATATATGTGCAATATAAAATGAAATTTTTTCCTACTGACACGAACACTAGTAGCCTAAACTCTTTAGGTTGGAGGTCCAGATTTAAATATTTGGGTCTAAAATGTTCTGAGCCCTGTGTAGTCTCTCTGTAGAAATGTTGAAATTTTGGGGCGATTTTTTTAGCTCAGCACCAGACAGTTTCAATAGTGAGAATGCGACCTTCATTTAATTAAGTTAAGAGTAAGATTCTTTTTATATAGATCTAAAGCCAGTAAAGGACTAAAGAGACATTTGAAAGGAAGTAAACCAGCAAGTCCCTGCCATTTCATATTGTTTCAATCTACATACACATTGATTTTCTTAATTCTGACCCAGCTACCATTGTACCAATACCAATAGAAAATCATGCAAAAAGAGCTCGATCTATATAAATCTAAGCGTAAGGATCAACATCAAATTCAAAGGTTGGAACCAAATGTCAATGCCATCGCTTATTAAAAACGCATGAAACAATTTTATGCGAATAGAGTCTACTGCATGATCTGCATCACCATGCGCAATGCAGATTTACTGAATGCATTAGGACAAACTGTAAACAAATGGTTAGGCCTCATGGCTCATGTCGACGTGATAATTGTTGGGGTCACTCTTATTTAGATATTGACCGAGCTTTTCTTAAACTTATTCTTGTCAGCATTACAGCATTTTCATCACATGGGACTAGACTTAAAACTGGCATGCATCCTTTTCAAATTGTACTAGTTTTACTGCGTACTGACTATGTATACATTTAAAAAATACTTACACATTGTTGAACCTAAACAAATCATCACATTTAAAAGGCCGTATTGTCGTCATATTACAAAGATCAGCCCGCAAACACCTAAATAAAATAAGAATCTTCGCCGTCGATAAGGGAGTTACGGTGTCTCCAAAACAGCCGATCGAAATGAAAAGAGGACAATTTGCACTTCTCGGTTGAAGATAAAGATGCAAAAAATGCAACTGCCAGGTGCGGATCCAGGATTTCTTAGGGGGGGGGGGGGCCAAATTTGAAATCAATTTGAAATTTAGTCTGCTGAAATTTGAAAATTGCGCCGGCCGATATTTCGCTCGACAAACCCCACCCCCTAGAGCACAAAAAAAGGTAAATTTTTGGTCACAATTTTGTTTGTCCTTTTTTTTTGGGCCCGTCTTTTTTTCCATGGTGGGGGAGGGGGGGAGGGCAGGCGCGGATCCAGGATTTCTTAGGGGGGGGGGCCCAAATTTGAAATTTTGCAAGCCAAATATTGGTACGTAATGGTGACCAACAGTGACGTAATGCGGGGGGGGGTCGGTGCAGGGAGGGGCGAGTTTCCCCCTCCCTCCTCCGCGAAACGCGGAAGCTTTGACGTTTCATTAAATTATTAAAGAAAGAAGACGATTCGTTGTACCGTTCTCGAAAAAAATTCTCGTCTGAATTAAGTTTTTCACCTCCCGCGCAAAGCGCGAAAAATTTTACGATTTATTTAACTATTAGAGAAAGAAGACGGTTCGTTGTAGAGTTTTCGACTCCTAATCCTCGTCTGAATTCAGGTTCCCCCCCCCCCCCCCCTCCTCCGCGCGAAGCGCGGAAGCTTTTAAGTTTCTTTCAATCATTAGAGAAAGAAGACGATTCGTTGTACTGTTATCGAAAATAATCCTTGTCTGAATTTAGATTTTCCCCCCCCGCGCGAAGCGCGGAAGCTTTTACGTTTCATTAAATCATTCGAGAAACAAGACGATTCGTTGTACAGTTCTCGACTCTTAATCCTCGTCTGAATTAAGTTTTTCCCCTTCCGCGCGAAGCGTAGAAGCTTTTACGATTCATTAAATCATTAGAGAAAAAAGACGATTCGTTGTACCGTTCTCGAAAAAAATTCTCGTCTGAATTAAGTTTTTCACCTCCCGCGCGAAGCGCGAAAAATTTTACGATTTATTTAACTATTAGAGAAAGAAGACGGTTCGTTGTAGAGTTTTCGACTCCTAATCCTCGTCTGAATTAAGGTTCCCCCCCCCCCCCTCCTCCGCGCGAAGCGCGGAAGCTTTTAAGTTTCTTTCAATCATTAGAGAAAGAAGACGATTCGTTGTACCGTTATCGAAAATAATCCTTGTCTGAATTTAGATTTTTCCCCTCCCGCGCGAAGCGCGGAAGCTTTTACGTTTCATTAAATCATTCGAGAAACAAGACGATTCGTTGTACAGTTCTCGACTCTTAATCCTCGTCTGAATTAAGTTTTTCCCCTTCCGCGCGAAGCGTAGAAGCTTTTACGATTCATTAAATCATTAGAGAAAAAAGACGATTCGTTGTACCGTTCTCGAAAAAAATTCTCGTCTGAATTAAGTTTTTCACCTCCCGCGCGAAGCGCGAAAAATTTTACGATTTATTTAACTATTAGAGAAAGAAGACGGTTCGTTGTAGAGTTCTTGATTCTGAATTTCAAAGATATCCTTTGTCTGCTCCTTTTTCTTCCTACGCCCCCCCCCCCCCTGGCTACGTGCCTGCGGTCCGATAAACACATTTTGATACCTTGTCCGACCCCGCAAGCTCAGGGGATTAAGGCAATAACTTACGGTCAGATAAGCATTCAGGGTCCGCCTTAGGGCCCCTGGTGGGGTCGAGACGGCGGAGCCGGCCCCGGAAGCTCAGGGGTTTTAGGCGTTTAACTAAGGTCCGATGAGCATTTTTTTTGTTTACCTTATTATTTTGTGACACTGGCAGGACACAATTGGCGTGGGGTACAGGGGGCAGAGCCCCCAAAAATCAGGGGTTTTAGGCATTAAATTACCGTCAGATAAGCATCTATGGGCCCCCGTAGGGCCCTATAGGTGGAGTCCATGGGGGCAGAGTCCCCGGAAGATTAGGGGTTTTAGGCATTTAATCCAGTTCAGATGAGCATATTTTGATGCCTCATTATTTTTTAACACGGGCAGTTAACTATTCTCTCTTTCTTGCTCTCATTCTATTTTATTTCTCTTTAATATACTTTTTCAAAAAAAAGTGTAGGGGGGGGAGGGAGCTCGAGGCTCCCGATCCCTGCCGTACCTCGGGCCCTGACATGTAGGAATATCAAGAATCATATTTCTTGCCTGGCTGTAAATTTAGGAATTTGTCATTTTCCAACAAACACATACAAACGTATAATTACTAAAAAGTGAGGAAAAATCTCGGAAATTAATTAATTTCAGCATTATTTGTAATCCACCGTTGTGGAATTAAAGAAAGAAACCACGTTTGAATTAGATTTCCCCCAAGCCCCCCCCCCCCTTTTTTTCTTTTTTCTTTCCCTTTCCTTCCTTCTCTCTCATTTTTTTGATTAGGGGGGGGGGGGTGGTCAACAGCCTGGGAGGCAAGGCTCTTTCGGCCCCCCCCCCCCGATCTCCTTCTTTCCCCTTTTCTTTTTTCTTCCTCTTTTTTCTTTCCCTTTCTCTCCTCTTTCCCTTTCCCTTCTTTTCCTTTCTTCTCTCTCTTTTTTTTTTTTTTTTTTTTTTTTTGCTGGGGGGGGGGGGGGCCAAGGCCCGCTCGCCCCCCCCCCTGGATCCGCGCCTGGGGGAGGGGGCAAGGCCCGCTCGGCCCCCCTGGATCTATATCACTTTACCCATGACACTAATAAACACTCTCCCAGTTCCCGGGGGTGGCCCACTTCTCCTCGTTCAAGGCCTCTTTTAAAGCCACACTATCTTAGCTACTTGCTCCCTCTATATAGAAAACAGTGCCTATTAAATCGGTGACCATTGGTCCCCCATGATGCTTTTTTTCTTATGTTAATTGAGAGCTGAGTTGATGAGATAACCACCTGTCCAGTGACCTTGCAGGGTAGTCTAATCCCTCCTATAAACTAGTACAGAAAAAGCTATAAAATCTTTGATTAATTTAATTAGAAGGAAGTACAACTACTTTGTACAGGTGAATTAATACAGGAATTGATGGCCTGGACCTTATTTCGACGGCAGGCGCGCCGGAAGCAGTTTGGGATTTGGGGGGAGGGGGGGGGGTGGGTTGGGCAAACATTCTAGGGGCTGACCTTCCAGGAGCAGTGGCGTAATGAGCAAAAACGTTTGGAAGGAGGTGTGGGGGGGGGGGTCAGAGCGTAAATTGGTGTGGGGTCAAGGGGCTGAGCCCTTGAAGCTCAGGGTTTTTGGGCATCAAATTACGGTCAGATAAGCATATTTTAATACACTGTCGCTCATAAAGTTGGAATATTTTAGTTTTACCCCAATTTATGGAATTATTTTAAAAATAATTTAAACATAATAGATTTAGATAATAGTATACATTCTCAGATTTTATTGAATAATAATTTGCCAATGTGTGTTTTGCGGGACTGCTAAAGCATGTTTATGCTACTATGCTTATCAACTAGGGGACCTATGCCCTCAAGTCATAAATGAAAGTAATGAGGATTAATGCCCCACAAAAGGGCACTAATATAGCACATCGACACGGTTTTGATCCTGGGGCCTCACAGTTACGAGGCAATTGCTTTGTCACTGAACCGTGACTGTACGCATCGGGGGCTAGGGTAGGGGTCACTTTCCATAAATTAAAAAAAAACACAGAAAATGCAATAAATTTTCAATAATTTATTGCATTTTACCCCGGTCCCCAACTTAAAAAAATCTTCTGGACGGCCATGCATTATGGCTCAAGGCATGGGCACACAGAAGATTTTGTTATGTTGGGAACTGGGGTAAATGCAATAAATTATTGAAAATTTATTGCATTTTCTGATTTTTTTTTTATTTATGGAAAGTGCCCCCTACCCTAGCCCCCGCTGCGTACAGTCATGGTTCAGTGACAAAGCAATTGCCTCGTAACTGTGAGGCCCCAGGATCAAAACCGTGTCGATGTGCTATATTAGTGCCCTTTTGTGGGGCATTAATCCTCATTGCTATCATTTATGACTTAAGGGCGTATGTCCCCTAGTTGATAAGCATAGTATCATACACATGCTTTAGCAGTCACGCAAAACACACATTGGCAAATTATTATTCAATAAAATCTGGGAATGTATACTATTATCTAGATCTATTATTTTAAAATTATTTCTAAAATAATTCCATAAATTGGAGTAAAAAAAAAAATTCCACCTTTATGAGCGACAGTGTAGATACCTTATTTGTGACACTGGTTTGTCACTAATTTGCGGGGATAGTGACGTGATTTTTTACCTTTTCTGGGCGATGCCCCCCCCCCCCCTGGCGCTCAAGGGGGGGGGGGGAGGGTGCAAATTTTAAAAATTTCCAAGGGCCAAAAAAAAAAAAAAATGTGCTTTAAGGCCGTTGGTGGGGTACAGGGGGCGGGGCCCCGAAAGCTCGGGGGGGAGGGTTAAGGTATTTAAATACGGTCAGATGAGCATCCAGGGAGCTGCCCTAGGGCACTAGACGGAGTCCGGGGGCGGAGCCCCCATAAGTTCTGGGGTTTTAGGCACTTAATTACGGTCTACTGAGCATATTTTGATACCTCATTTGTGACATTGGCAGGTCACTTATTTTTTCTTTCTCTTTTTCTTTCTTTTTCTCTGTAAAATATTTTTTCAAAAAGTAAGGGAGCTCGAGCCCCCGAGCCCAGCCGTTCTGCAGGCCCTGACATGAAGGCTTCTTAATAAGCATATTTTTCGCCCGACTGTAAATTTGGGAATTTCCAATTTTCCAACAAACGCACTTATAAAAAAATTGAGAAAAAATACCGGAAAATCATGTCATTTCAGCAACATTTGTAAATCACTGGTATCGAATAAGAAGTAACCCCCCCCCCCCCATCAGTATGCCAGCGTTAAGGGGCTCATGTTCTCACCCCTATAACAAAAACAAAAACACACGCTTTCCCATCCTCTCACAATATTTCCACGATATGCGCGTATCGCTATTTTAAAAACCTCCATTGATAAATATAGGTGGCATGCGGAATGTTTAGGAAATTTAAT